AAGTGTGTTATCTACTAATTACACTAATTTACACATGAGTGCCCAATTAGTTCATGCAAGAGTGCCCAGTTAATTTACACGTGAGTTCCCAATTGGTCTGTGCATGAGCACCCAATAAATTCATGAGCACCCAAAAAATTTATGCATGAGCACCCAGCTGGTTCGTTTGTGAGCACCTGTTGCATTCACACCTGAGCACCCAGGTAGTTCATGCATGAGCACCCAATTAGTTCACCTAGAAGCACCCAAATAATTTATGCACAAGTGCCCAATTAGCCCACGCATGATCACCCGATTTGTATTTGCAGGAATGCCCATCTAGCTCAGGCATGGGTGCCTGGTTAGTGCCTGCATGAGTGCCCCATTAATTCATGCCTGAGCACCCACTTTGCTCACGCGGGAGCACCCACTCTGGGCACACGTGGGTGCCCAGTTTGCCCTCGTTTGGGCGCTGCCCTGAGCATCCCGCAGCAGGTCCAGGCAGTCCCAGACCCCGACGGGAGCCCCAGCACGGGGTGATGTGCCAGCTCCCCCAGTCTGGGATGCGTGGGGACCCCGGGAAGGAGCCGCAGCGGGTCCCTGGGGGGAGATAAATGCCACAGGGCTGACACTGCCACGTCTCAGTGGGTGATGCTGGACCAGTCACCCGTGGGCTGACCATGACCTGGCAGAGCTGGAGTGCCCTGCAGTGGCGACGGGACCCGCTCTGTGCCTGGAAATAATTAACCCTGGCTTCCCTGATAAGGCAGCAGTGCCCGTGGCCCCGTGGGACCAAGGTGCTGTCGTAGAGGCTGGAGCGAGGGGGGGGACGCGCGGGGGCTCGGTGGAAAATCCCTGCTGGCTGCTGTGTGGGGACGGTGCTTGCTGAGGCTTTGGGAGCCCGAGCCCACGCGAGGACAGAGCTGTGCCGTGGCCCACGGGGGCCAGGCTGAGCGTGCACGCTCCCACTCAGGGTCCAGCCCTGCGGCTGTGGCTAAACCCCTGCCCTGGCACAGGCAGGGGAGGGGCCGGCTGCGGGGTGGGATGGCAGCACATAAAAAGCCCTGTGGGGCTGGAGCATCACGTCACTTTGTCACCTCATGCCTCCCACTGTGGCCGGGGGTCCCCAAACCGTTCCGAATCCGGCACCTCTCCTGACTGCCCCCACCATCCAGCGAGCACCGAGCTCACCCGCGGGCAGGGTGATGGATGGGGATTCGCAGTCCCGAGTCCCTCCTCTCCTCTCCGCCTGGCAAACACAAATTAACGGGCTTGAGCACTGATTAACCAGAGCTGTTTCTTGCTGCAGCGGCAGCTGGGTGGTGGGAAGAGAGGGGGCACACCAAGGGCGGGTGGTGACAGAGCTGTCAGTCCTCGCCTGTGCTGTTGGGGAGTGATGGAAAGGTGGGAGTAGAGGTTTGGGGGTTTTTGGGTACCGGTAGCTGGGAGGAGGGGGCTGGGGGCTGCACGGGGCATTCTCTGCCCCTCAGTGCTGCACGAGACGTGTGGCCAAAGCCCTCCCAGCTGAGGTGGGAGTGGGGATGGACTGACCGGCGCTGCGAAGGGGCAGCGAGGGCCTGTGGCCGGGGTTTGGGGCAGCTCTCGTGCTGCTCGGGGGTGACTGTCCCCGCTGCCTGCTCCTGCCCAGGGTGCAAGCCCAGTGCTCAGTGTTTCCCTGCACTTTGCTAAGAGCAGCCGGAGCCAAGGTGCTGCCGGCACGAGCTGCTGCTCGGTGTCGTGCGTACGGGAGGGCGTCTGCGGGCGCGTAGCCGGGGCTCCCACCTCAGCGGTGCCTCTTACGGCGCTGCGGTTCGTACCGAATGCTAATGCCCTGCCTTTATTTAGCACCTTTCGTCCCCAAGGATCCCACGGCACGCTGCATCCGCTCACGAGCCGCTACGTGTGCTATTTATAGGCGTCCCCACAGCCGCTGTGGGAACGGGGGTCCCTGGGGAGCACGGCAGGGCTCGGCGGGGGCACGGCGAGGGAGCCAGCCCTGCTCCGGTGGGATGGTACAGTGGGGCTGCTGCGGGTTATCCCCTCGTCCTTGAGCATTCGGGGTCGAACTTGGCTGAGGTTTCTATCGCTGCAAATTGATTTGCATCGGCTCAGCGTCGCGCCGTAATCGATGCTGGGGGAGGAAGATGCAGCAGCTGCCACCGCACGGGTACTTTCTGTGAGCCTGGCTGGGCTCTGCATGTCGGGGAGCTGCAGAGGATGGATCGGGGAGGGACAGCCCTGCCCTTGTGTGTGTCCTCTGGCCCCAGCCCCAGGACGGGGGGCTCAACCTGGCCAGGAGACTGGCATGCCCCCCAAAGCTCCCGTGGCCACAGGTCCGTGCTGTGGGGACATTAGCATCCCGAATCCGTGTCGCTCAGAGCGTTGACACTCAGCGAGGTCGGAGCCATCATCTGTGTTGGGTCTGTAACTCTGGATTCGGGGAGGCAGGTACCCGCTCCGCCCCAGTTTGCCCGGCCGCAGTGACACTGTGTGCAGGGCTCTGGTGTTTCCCTGCGCTGGGAACACTGCCCTCGGGGAGAGGGAAGATTTGGTGGCAGCAGAGGGGTGCACCCAGAGCCGGCTGGTTTTCCAAGGGCTGGGTGATGGGGCTGCATTCCCACCCCCGAGCAAACCCCGCAGCTTCCCCTCGCACCCGGGGCAGGAGGAAGGGCACCAGTGCCAGCGCGCTGGAGGAGGGATGGGGCTTTGCGTGGCCCCGTTCCAGGGATGCACGTTAACAAATCCCACCTCGGGAGCCCCATGCTGGTTTTCAAGCTGGCACCTGAACGGTTCCTTCCGTCAGAAAAGCCTCTCCCGGGAGCATCACGCATCCCTCCTGCGGGCACAAGGGGAGTCAGCTCCATCCCTCCCCTCCTGCCCCAGCCCAAGCGTGTCATTACCAGCGTTTCTCCTGTACTAAAAAAAGCACAAATTTCTTAATTGTTTCCTGCTGGAGTTGAAAGGCAGCTCCCAGGCCTGAAATAGCACGTTGAGGGAAACACAGTTGAACAAGAGAGCGAGCAGAAGGCCATTTGCCTGGAAGGGCCCAGCTGAGCCCTGATTGCAGCCCCGGGCCGCTGCTGCTTGTCGTGGTTTGAGCTCTCAAACCCAGTACGCTGCTGTTGCCCCTTTCACCTGCCCCAAGGGCTGCCCGAAGTCTTGCTCATCACCCTCGTCCTCCTCCCACCTGCCTTCATCAGTGCCTGTGGGCAACTGGGGCTGCAGAGCTGGTGCCTGGGGCATCCCCCCGAGCATCCTCGGGGTGGGAGTTGTGGCTGATGTCTTGCTGCTTGTGGGGAATGTGTGCAGGGAAGCCTCTTTCTGTTAGAGACTCAGCATCTTTCTTTTGGAAGGATGCTTCTGTGCAACCCTTGTGAGGGGGGGAATGGGGAATCTTTTGGGATTGGCACAACTGTTGTTTTGGCCTGCCCCAGCTCAGCTGCTGGATGCGGCTGGCTCCCTCCTGCCAGGAGATCTCTGTCCCTTCCCCTGTCTGCTATTTTCCTGCCAGACACCCCTGGCAAAACAACCCTCCGAATCCCTCCTGTGGCGCAGCCAAAGCCCTCGGTGTCCTTCAGCCCAGGTGCTGAGCATCCCCACTCCTGCCTCCCCTCCCCCGGGGTGCTGCCGTCCAGACACCCCACATCGGTACGGCGGGTGCCGCTGCCCTCCCGGCACAGCCACCCACTGCCGGCTCCCCGGGGAGGCCAGGGGAGAGGCTGCCCTATGCCAACCCCTTCCTGGGAGGGGGTTTTCAGGCTCTGTCCCCCCAGCAGTCCCCAAGCTGGGATGGAGGAACCCCCCCACCCATGCACGGGGACGGCCTCGGTGCGTCAATCCCTACCCACAGGGACACGGGAGCCAGCACCCGGCCGGCTGCGAGGTGGGGGCCAGCGTGTGCCCTCCCCGCTGCCCCACTGCTGCCGCCCGCCAGCCCTCGCTTTCTGTGCCCTGCGCCTTCTGCCAGGCATGTTAGAAATCCTTCTGATGGAAAATTGCTTTCTTTTCTCCGCCATCCAAGGTAATTGGCATCTGTTGATGTGTCTTGGTTCTCTATTTTTATCAGCCGTTTGCACATTGACACGTCTCCACTCTGCCTCATTATCCCAGCGCGTTTCAGACCTATTGCTTTTTTATTATTATTTAGATGCTCGATGGAAAGGAAATGACTAATGAGGCCGTTCCCCCTGCGCCCGCTGGCACCGGGCTCCCCGCTGGCGTGCCGGTCAGGCACCGCTCCTGCCCCGGGATGCGTGGGGACGGGTGCCAGCCCCCCGCCCCCTTGGGCTCCCCAGCATCCCACATCCCATCGGAGCCTTCCCTCTGCTGAGGACATTTGTGATCTCAGCAGCTGTCCCCAGGCTGGGGACATTTGGAGTTGCCAATGCTCGCTGTTTTCTAGTTTATCACAGTTTTGGGGTTTCTCCGGAGCCTGGTAAAGCTTCCCAGGGCCCTGGGCTGGGTTTGGTGATGTTTCTCTGTGCGGTTCAGAGGCAGCTGGTACCCAGGGGGATGCTGGCCCCAGGGCTGTGCCCATGCCCACGCTCAGTGTGTTGATGTTGGGGCCGGGCAGGTGCCTTCCCCGAGCTACCTCCTGGCAGATGTTTTGGCAGATGTTTTCAGGGATGGTTTGGCTCTGAGGAGGCGGGAGGGCAGGACCAGATGCCCCCCAGGCATGAATCAGCTTGGCCTTTGCATGACCCGTTGCATCTTGCAGCGATGGCGTGGCATTCCCCTGGCAAAAGGACATGGTGGGCTCCCCAGTTTTGGAGCCAGAGGGACCCCAGTGCCTGCAGCCCCGGCCCCATCCACCTCCTGGGCTGGCGGAGGATTCCCGGGTTGTGCCTCGAAGGCAGCTGCTTGCGTGTGGGTAACACATAACACACAGCAACGCGTGGAGCGAGCGAGCCCTGCGGCATCCCCCCCGGGGAAGCCACTTAAGTGAAGTGCAAAACCAGCTGGGAAAGCGCTAAATCCCTTTTTTCTTTTCTTTTTCTCTTATCTCCCTTTTTCTCTTTCAGTTACGGAGAAGGAGGTGCAGCAGTGGTGAGTGTCCGGCGTGGCGGTGAGCTGCTGGGGCGCGGGGCTGGTGGGCGAGGGGGTGGGAGCCAGTGGTGCTCAGCAACCCCAGCAGCCATGCAGAGCAAGGGGGTGCAGGAGGGTGCACCTGTTTTGGGGTGCAGGGGTTAGCTCATAGCGGGGAGACCAGAAATTAGAGGTTTGGGGTTTTTTTTTGCGCACCTTGTGCACGGTGCTTGGCTCTGGCTGCTCTCTGCCACCCATGTGGGACAGTTCACCCTCCCTCTTGCCTCCCCAAATGGGTGGCTGAGGGGAACGGGGACGTGGGTGGCTGCAGGCGGCCAGTGCCATCCCAGCACGTCCCCGTTTGCAGCAGGGCCCACCGAGGCTGGCAGGGGCCATGGCCGTGGTGCTTTGCCAGCAGCACACTCTCGCCCCATCCCCTCTGCCCCACCGAACGCGATGCCCTAGAAAATCCACCGTTTCCCTTTCATCTTCCTATCCCACCAGTCAAGGTTTGCTTTCTTTATCTCTTTCTCTCATCCTTCCCCCCCCTCCCCGATGAGTCATAGATGCAGCAGCGTGAAAAAGATGTCACCGCCACTTTGGTTTCCCACCTCGCCACCCCCTTCCCCTCCTCCCCCAGCCCTCGGCCCGCTGCAGCGGGCGCCTGACAGATCTGGGCGACGCGTTGCATAATGCTCACGCACCCTGCGTGGTCCCCACGTGGTCCCTGCGCCCACGGAGCCGGCGAGCCCCTTCCCCTGCGCCCTCCGAGGTGGCACTTTGCAGCATCCAGGTCCAACCCAGAGCTGGGACCAAGGGCTTTTGGGGGTGTTTAAGTACCGATGGGTTTTGGGAGATGCCCTGGGCTGTGCCACCTCAGGGGTGCGGTAAACCCCGCTGTGCTCCCCCAGCTTCTCTGAGCAGCTTTCACTCGGGGTCGTGGAAAAATGCCGTGGTGGAGCTTCCGCTGCCCTGGGTGCTTCGGGCCGCCGTGCTGTTGGTTTTCAGCAGGGCATGGCTGCAGGACGTGGGTGCCGAGCAGCGGGTTGCAGACTGCCTGGGGGGTTGCTGCTGACCTCGAGTCCCTCCCCCGTGGTGGTGCAGAGGTTTGGGGGGAGAGTTCCCGGCTGCCTCTGTCCGGGAGAGCCGGTCGGATGCGCCTGATGTAGCGGGGCCAAGCCACAGTGGTGCAGGGGAAGGGGAGCTCCGGCCCTTGGGTGAAGCTTTCTGTTTGCAACGCCTTGCTCGGGAGCTGCGTGCATCTGAAGAGGTGAACGAGGGATATAAACGCTCTCCTGCGCTCCCCATGATGGCTTCAGGGCCGAGCGTGGCTGTGCTGGCGAGAGGCGACTCTGGGCAGAGGGCTTTTTATTTTAAAGGAGGATGAAAAGTCTCTCCCGGGTGCTCGTGGCTGGGTGGTGGGTCCCCGTCCCCTCCCAGCTCCTGGACGCTGTTCACCAGGAGCCTGGTTGAGGCTCGGTTGCCAGTTCTGGGCTCGCAGCAGTGCTGCTCTCTGCTTCTCTCTGCTCTCCCCGCTGCCACCGTCACCGCCGTGCCCACAGGGACCTCGTCCCACGGGGCTGGGAGGGTGCAGGCGAGTGATGGAAGCGACACAGGGAGCACTTGGGGACCTCCCCAGGGGTTGGGGGACCACGTTCTGCAGCGAGACCCCCCTGGTGCCCATCCTCTGCCCTTCCTCCGCAGGTACAAGGGCTTTATCAAGGACTGCCCCAGCGGGCAGCTCGATGCTGCCGGCTTTCAGAAGATCTATAAGCAGTTCTTCCCCTTCGGCGACCCGACCAAATTCGCCACCTTTGTTTTCAATGTCTTCGACGAGAACAAAGTAAGTCTGCGAGCTGGGGACACGGCCAGGGGGGGTCGGGGCCGGGCCCGTGGCGATAGTGGGACGGGTTCGGGACGCGACTGCGCGGCGCCGGAGGAGCGAAATATCCCAGCGCTTCCTGGGGCGTGAGATGAAAGCGGCGCAGCTGGAGCGGGCGAGCCCCCGCGCTTATTTTAGTCGATGAGAGTCCCACGGGAAAAGGCGGTGAGGTGACAAATGGGAGAGGAGAAACGTGGTGTTTTGGTGCCGCTGACATAAAGCCCACCCGCACGGGGTGTGTGTGTGTCCCCCCCCCCCCAACTCTGCTCCCTGCGTGCCGGCGTCGCTCCCGCCGGGATGCTCGCTGTCAGGCTGGATCACGCTGCTGGAGATAAATGTGCATCAGTCCTCCGTTGCCTTTTCGGATGTGGCCCCTAAGGAGTTTGCGGGGTGGGGGTGCTCGCAGCAGCACCCTCACCCCACCGCTCCCTTCCCTCCCCCCAGGACGGGAGGATCGAGTTTTCGGAGTTCATCCAGGCGCTGTCGGTCACCTCCCGGGGGACGCTGGACGAGAAGCTGAGGTGTAAGTGCTCCCCGCGTGGTGGGCTCAGCCCCGCAGCCCCCCGGCACGGTGAGGGGGGCCGGGGGGTGGCCATGGGGTGTGTGTCTGGTGGGGGGGGGGGGGGTGGGGGGGCCGCAGTCCCCAGCACCTCGGCATTGCTCTGGTTTGCAGGGGCGTTTAAACTGTACGACTTGGACAACGACGGGTACATCACGAGGAACGAGATGCTGGACATTGTGGATGCGATTTATCAAATGGTGGTAAGCCCGGGGGGGGGGGGGGTGTGTGTGTGCAGGAACACAGTCCCTGAGGGTCCCTGCTGGGCTAGAGCCCGGCTCTGCAGGCAGGGGGGTGGTGGGGAGGGTGTTGAAACACCCCTGATTCCCTCCCTGGGCATTTTTGATCATCATGGCTGGGACAGGGTCTGGGTCTGTCACGAATGCCAGCCCCCTGTGCCCTGTCCTGATGCGGGGAGGGGCGGGGGTGAGATGTGTGTCCTCGCCTGGGGACACAAATGGGCGGGTGACTGGGCCCCATCCTGCCACCACAGGGAAACACGGTGGAGCTTCCTGAGGAGGAGAACACACCGGAGAAGAGGGTGGATCGGATTTTTGCTATGATGGACAAGGTGAGGATGCTTCAGTGGATTTTTTTCCTTGGGGCCAAGGGATTTAGGAGGCAGTTGCGGGCCCCCTTGCCACGTCTCGGCTCCTTCAGGTGGCTCCTTCTCCCGCTAATACGAGGTCCGAGCTGCCGCTGGGCTCGTTGCAGACCCCCTGCATCCCTCCGGGATCCCCGTATCCATTTCAGGGTCCCTGAGATGTCACTGAACCCTCCGTGGCCCCCCGCCCCGGCTGCCGGTGTGGGTGGTTTGATGGGGGAACAGAGGCTGGGGGGGGGGACACACGGACCCGAGTGGCTGCGCGGGACGGAGCGGGTGCTGCAACGGGAGGTGTTTGTTTCGCAGAACGCGGACGGGAAGCTGACGCTGCAGGAGTTTCAGGAGGGCTCCAAGGCCGACCCCTCCATCGTGCAGGCGCTCTCCCTCTACGACGGGCTCGTATAGTCCCGGGGCCGAGCGGCGGTGAGTGTGTGTGTGTGTGGGGGGGGGGGACGGGCCCGGGGGTGCCCCATCTCCCCCCCTTCTTCATGCTCTTCCCACCTCCCCCGAGGGCGGGCACCTGGTTCTCCTCTGCTGGAGGCATCAAAGCGTGGGCATCCCCCCCCAATCCAGTCGGGGAGGGGTATTGCCCCCATACCGATGGGTTTCTCCCAGTGCCCCCCCCCCAGAGCACCCCAGGCCCGCAGCCCCCAGGGGTGCAGCACAAGCCGCCCGGCTGGCAGGCGTTTGCCTGCGGCACGGCTCGTGCCCTCGCCTGCAGATGGGGCTGCAGAGGGAGCAGGGAGGCAGCTGGCGTGCTGGGGGGCACGGGGATGCTCTGGAGGGAGACATTAAATGTTTAATTTATATTATATCTTATTATATGATGCCCTGGAGCTGGCAGGGTTTGGCGTGGAGGTGTCAGGGAAGCTGTAGTTCACAGCATCCCGGGGGTGCTGGGCTGAGCACCCCATGGTCCTCCCCATGCCCTGTGGGGCCATGCAGAGCTGTCTCTTGGGATGATTTTGGTCACTGCAGTCCAGGCAGTGGCCAACCATGGGTGGTGGGGTTTGTTTTTTGTTTTTTTTTTTTTTAACCCTGCTGGAGTTTTGAGCTTTTCAAAATCTTGACTGTGTTTCCAGCTTTGCTCTTCCAGCTGCACTGGTGTGGTGTGAGATGGCTGCAGGGTTTTCTGCCCGTCCTCCTCACCCAATTCTCCTTCTCCCCACCCTCTCCTGCAGATGCCTGGGGGAAGATGCTCTCCGTGCCATCCGACCACCGCCGCGCGAAGCTTGCCTGTCCCTCTCGGCCTTCCTTTCTGTTCTGCGAGCAAAGGATGCCCTCGAAGCGCGAGCTCACTCCCCCTCTCTGCACTCTGAACCAGCCGCTGCCATTTGCCAACTTCTGCTTTTTCCAAAAAAAAAAAAAAAAAAAAATACCCGCCACAGACCCCGGTCTGAGCGGCAGCGAACGCCCGAGACTTCAGGGCCGGGGGAACAGGTCGAGCGTTGCCGAAAGCAGAGCCCCACCTCGGCCTCCTCGCCCTCCTCGCTCCCCCTTTCCTACGTTTTCGGATGGGACTGCGGATGCGCCGGCGCTGGCACGGTCCTCTCCTGGGAACCGGCCGGCTGGAGACGGAGCCCAAAGGTACCGGGGGGCCGCGCACCCCGGGGTGCTGCCTGCGCGGGGCGGCCGGGGAGCCAAGGCACCGGCAGCGATTGGGGACAGTCCTGGTGTCACCTGCGACGCGGCTGGCAGCCTGGCCCGGCTCACTAGGGATATATATTATATATAATTTTTTTTTTTTTTTTTGGTGAGACAGTATTGTGCATTTTCTTTTTTTTTTTTTTTTTTTTTTTCCTTTGGTGGAAAAAAGTGAGGCTTTTTTTTTACATGCCTGTCTCGACGATCGATATCCTTATTTATTTGTTGTAAATGTTGCTGCCGTGTTTAGTCCCTTGTGTGTGTGTCCAACCACCTAGGTGATGATATGTAAGGTTTACATGCTCGTACACTATTGCGGGGCACTAGGAGCCTGCAATAACAATGAAGCCAAAAATCTGCCTTCCCCCCCTCTCCTCCTACCCCGCCGTGTCCCAAGCTCCGTGGGCTGGCTGCCGTTTTAAGGGGATGCTGTAACTTCTTTTCTTCTTCCCATTCCCATTTCCTGCATTTTTCTGTTCAGCCTTCTCTTTGCAAGCCCAGCTGAAGCTTGCTCAGCCTAGGCTCCGAGCAGATCAAGCCCACTCCATCCCTTAGGCAGGGCGAGGAAACCACCAGGCACCGGAACACCCTTTTTTCCTTTTTTTTTTTTTTTTTCAGTTTCTCACTGCATGAAATAGTATTAATGGAGCCGAGAGTTGGATTTTGCTTCCAAGCAAATATTCCTTTAATATTTTTTGTTTTGCAAACGGTGGAAAAGTCTGTTTGCGTGCCAGGGAGGTGCCTGGGGATTAGCCCGTGTGCCGGTGGGGCTGGGGGTGCCCGTGGGGACGGCTCGCTCCGTGCCCCCCCATCCCGGCTGGGGCGATGAGGCAGCTCCTGCCTCGGGGGTGCCAGGCTGGGAGACGCGCGATTCGGGGTGTCTCCTTACTCCCTTGCTCCTCGTTTAGGACGTGGGAGGTTTTGTGGTAGATCGAGAGCACGGCCCCAAAGCGGAGCCGCTTGTCCCCGCTCTGGGGGAGACAGAGGGCTGGGGAAACGCGCCTGGAGACACCTGAGCGTGGGGCTTGGAAATAGCACACACACACCCCCCCCGCGGCCACGAGTGGTGGCCACACGGCCTCTCCAGCACCTGACACCTCACCGGGATGTGCCCGAGCAGGGCTCAGCCCCGCCGGGACACACTCCCACTCCGTGGGACACAGCGGCATCTCTGCTGCGGGACGAGCGTTACGGGGATCCGCAGCTCTGCCTCCGTCCGCCTTGTCCCCTGCGCTGGGGAAGGAGAGATTTCCACCTCCACGGGAGCAAAGTGCGAGATGCCCGTGGGACCCCTAATACCAGCCGGGATGCAAACCAACCCCTCCTGCTCCGTTGCTGGCCCGGTAGCACCCGTGCTGCTCTCCCACCGCTCCATCCCCGGTACGCCTGAGGCGGCATCGCCTTCCCGCCCCGCTCTGCTCCGGGATGCCTGCAGCTCCCGCGGCCGAGCCCGGCCGGTGCCCACAGCCCTCGGCCACGGGGACTGTCCCCACGGCAGCAGGAGGTGACGCCTGGACGTGGAGGACATCCGTGTCCCACGACGCAGGAAGCAGGGGGGTGCCCCAGCGGGGTCTGAATCGTCCCCACACGGCAGGGACAAACTCTCGGGCCAAACGATGCTGGTCCTTCGCTGTGCAGCCCCACTCCCCCGGTTTTGGGGCTGTGTGCTGGTGGCACTTTCTGATGCCCATAAGAAACCGCCCTTCCCCATCCCCAAGGAGAACCACCCTCATATCCACGTGCAATATTTCTGCCTCTCCTGTGGTTTCTGCCCCTGAGGGTGCCTGTGGTTCATTGTGGGGGGCTGCTCGAGGGTGTTACCTCTCTCCCTCTCATGGAAACTCCTTTTCCTTGATGCTTTGTGGCCAAAATGCGACTCTCTTGGGTAGATCTTCGCAGTGCCTCCAACTTCTCTAACGCTCATCTGCCAGAACGGTCCCTTCCCAGTGCCAATCGATGTTCCCAATGAATGTGACGCTGCTGTAATCGCCTCCGCTGATAAATGATGGACCTCGCGACGTTTGACATAATTCCCAGGCAAAGGCAAACCTCATTTGCTCTGACACTTTCCCCTGAAAGGCTTTTCATTTTCAGAGGACCTGCTATGCTTTGAGCTCCGTCAGCACTCACTGACATCTCACCAGGGAGGCAGCCCTGCAGCAGCAGCGGGGTGTGCGGCCCCCGTCACGGGTGGGGTGAGGGACCAGCACCGGCTTGGGAGAGCCTCAGACCCCAGAATTCCCAAAATTCAGTGTCTGGTGCTGCTGTCATCGCCATGAACCTCCCGCTGCCACTGATGCTGGTGGGCTCAGGGATGGAGCCCAATGCCTCGTCCTCCCTCGCCCCTCGTTAAATATTTGCACATTAAAAAGAAAAAAAAAAGGAGAATGAGCGAAAAGGATAAAAGGTTTTGGCCTGTTTTCAAAAGCTCTGTGCCAGCTGTGAGGACGCCGTTGGCTTGATGGCAACGATGACTTTTCCTGGGCAGAGGCCCCTCCTGCGGGTTCGGGGCTGGCTCCTGGGTTCTGGCTCCGGCCCCGTGGCAGGTCCCAGTGTGGGTTCTGTCCTGCCCTGCTCTTGGCATGCTGAGTGTCCCTGAGCAAATCATTTTGGCCCCGGTATTCCCCCCCTGGCTGTGGATTTGGGACCCTGGCTTGGATGCTTCTAGCCTCCCTTTGAGGAGCACCAAGGGCCCCCGACTCCTGAACATCACCAGGATCTGCAGCTTCTCGGTACCGCTGAAATTAAGGCTTGAAGCATCTCGTGCTTGGAAACGTTGGCCTTAACCTCCTCGTGCCTCAGTTTCCCCATCAGTGAAATGGCCTGGGTGAGCCACCCCCCTCTCCGGAGAGCGATTCAACGCCTGTGCCCCGGGGAGCACGAGCACTGGGTCCGGCTCACGGCTGCGACCGGGGGGGTTTGGCAGGAGCCACCGAACCTCGGGCACGTGCGGAGCACCGGGACCTGCGCGTGAACCGCGGCGGCGGAGCTTACATCAGAGAATCGTTCATTTCGGTCTTCTTTTTACACCTGCTCATTATTAAAAGCGAACGGGTGACAAGGCCTGATTTGTTTCTGTTTCGGGTTCCTCGTGCCTGCCTGAAATACAGCCGGCTGCAGCCCCGGTGATGGGGAGGGGACCCGAAGCGCAGCCAGGCAGAGGCGTGTGTGTCCCCCACCTCTCATTTGTCCCTGTTGGTGTTGCCCCATTAAAATGCCATGTCTGTGCTTTCCTTTCTTTTCATTTTTCTGTTTGTGTGCTGACTGTTGCAGCTTTGTAACCGTCTTTCCTTGAGCTCTGGGGCTGGGCTGGGCTGAGCTGTTTCCCCTGCAGAGCAAGGACGTGGGAGAAGGCTCTGGGGGCAGATTCCCTGCCCACCCCCCCCACCCCCCCCACCCCCCCATCACGGCACAAACCAGGACCCAAGAGAGAGAAAAGTGAAGCAAGTTTTTCCTCTGGAGCAGCCCTATAACTGCTGCGATGTGTAATGAAACCAGGTGGCCCCCTGGAGCTCTCCCCACCAGGTTTTTTTTTTTTGGGGGGGGGGGGGGTGTTGCTTATGGGGGACCCCCCCACCCCGTTTGTGCTGGGCACCAGCTGCATCTCACCCGGCGGTGCAGAAGCGGGTGCCTGTCGGTGCCTGCCCCCCGTGCTGGCAGGACACCGCGTCCCAGTTGGGTGGGGGGCACTGAGGCTGTGGGACCCCCATCCCAGAGCCGCTGCCCCCCCCGAGCAGGCAGGGATGTAAGTGCGTGTCTGCCAGCAGCTGTGCTAGCCCGGGGGGGGGTGGAAGGGTCTCGGGGTCTGGGGCTGAGCCGCGCTTGGAGCAGGGCTGGCTTCAAAGCAGGGCTAGGTGCGGCATGGGGGCAGCCGAAATCACTGGCAGAACTGCCCTCTTCCTATATATTTAGGGTTGGAGGGGGGTTTGGTTGGGGTGGGTGGGTGCCCCGCAGCCAGCTCATTGTCCCATTGTCCCTGGCCCCAGGGTAAAGGGGGAGATCTGGGGCATTTTGGGAGGGCAACGGCCACCCCACCTTCACGGGGGCGTTGGAGGGGAGGGGGTTGGCTGGACCGGTGGTGGTGGCCGGTGGGGCAGGAGCGAGGGCTGGGGGGGGGGGGAGGAGGGAGCTGCTGACCCCGCTCTTGGTGCAGCAGCTTGGGGGTTTTCTTGCAGAGCAATTTTGGGGTCTCAGTCACACGTGCCAGCCCCGACCCAGTTCCAGCAGCGCGGCAGGAATGCCATCCTTCCCTTCTCTCTCTCGGCTCCTGCGGCCGCCAGCCCCGCGGTTGGGTGCCGTGTCCCGCGGGACCCCTGGCCGGGGGCAGCCGGGCCCCCCGCTGCGAAACAGCAGCTCCAGCAAAGAGCCTTGTTTGTAAAGATGAAGCCTGTTTGTGCGTCCGTGCCGGTGTCTCGGCTTGCATGCCCTGCTGCCTTGTCTTGAGATGAATTCAAGAGCAAACCAAGCAAACGAAACAGTTTAAAAACAAAAGAAAAACGAAACAAAACCCAGGAACTTTGTGACAGTGGAAATAAAAGCTTAATAACAGTAATGAAGCACCTATGGTCTGTGATGCATTGCGGGGTGAGCGGGGGGAAGGCAGGCAGGCTCGGGGAGGGCGCGGGTCAGGCTTGTCCCCTCCTGCGCCCCCCCAAATTTGCTCCTGCACCCTGTGGGGCTGGGAGCTGGGCTGGGGGACGGGGGGGAGCAGCTGCCTGGTGCAGTGTGCCCCGAGCACGGGGCTGTTGTGGCACCAGCAGTGCCTGGGCTATGCCCGTGCTGGCAGGCAGGCGGTGAGGCACGGTGCCCACGCTCTGTGATGAGCTGTCGGGTCTCAGCTCCAGGCCGGAGGCACATCAGGGACCGTTCACCCCTGTCACACTGCTCCTTCCCCCTCCCTGTACCCAGACACATCTTGTTGTCTGCCAGGTCCTATCCCCCACTCACCACCCGCATCCTTTCTTCTATTTCTCTTTTGCACCAAAGCCACTTGCAGCCGTGCCGTGCCCTCCTGCGCCGTCCCCGTCTCCTCCAAGCCCCCTTGTTGACGCTGAGAGCCATTGGGTCACTTTTGGCACACAAGGGCTGTTGAGAAATTTGATATTAATATCTCATAATTGTGTCTCACAGCCCATAACAGAGGTGCCCTGTGGCAGACCCCCGCCGGGGGCTGGCCGGGCGAGCAGGGGGACTCACAGCCTGGCTTAGGCTTTTCACGTGCAGCAGGATCGCGTTTGCCGTTCTGCCCTGCCAAGTCTTCTGGAAACAAGCTCTGTGAGGCCTCCCTGCCAGCTCATCTTCATTTGTTTGCTCTCCTAACGAGGCTGACTAATTATTTTCGGGGGGGCCAGAGGAGATGCCCTAACGGTCTAAACAAGGAGGCTGTGTTTGCACAGGGGGTTTTGTTTGGAGGTGCCTTGTGGCAGCACACAGCAGGGACACCCAGGGATTTATCCCCCTTGCTGGGGAGCGGGTGAGGATGGGCACAAGCTTCAAACCACAGCGGTTACCCAGAGGCTGTGCCTTGCTTTGCTGTGCTTTAACCCCCAGCAAGGAAGGGGTTAAAGCCCAGCTAGTGCAGGTGCTCCTGGGGCTGGGAACACTGGTGGGTGTGGGAAGGGCTGGCTGGGATTAATTTGGTGATGGGGAGAAACTGTTTGGGTTTCTTGGTGCCAGCAGTGTTGCAGAGAGGTGCTCCCTGCTGGGGTGCGGGATGGAATTGGGGTGCAGGGTTAGTGGCTGGGGGTGCTCTGCAGTAGGTTTGGTGACACTGTGGGGTGGGACACACCTCCACCCCCCTCCCCAGGCTTGCAGCGAGTGTGGGGCTGGGGGTGCAAAGTCTGGGGGCTGCAGGTGAGTGGCTGTGTCTGTGGGATGGGAGGGGGACAGGCCAGGGACACAGCTGGTGGCTCAGCCCTCTGGGGCAGAGGTGCCAGCTGGCTGCCCTCTCTGACATGGGGGGGGATCCTTGCTCACCCTGGGACTGTGTTGGCCTGAGCCCAGGCTTGCAGGGACATGTGGGGCAGAGGGATGCACCAGAGGGTCCCACATGTGGGGCGTGTGGTCCCTAATGTCCCCCAGCCCCTGTGTCTGGGAGGAGCAGGGCTGATGCCAGTGAGGCGCTGGGGGCTGGAGGAGGTGCTCAGCCCGGGGCAGGATTCAGCCCTCGGTGCTCAGCTTCACCTGGAGCCGGCCCTTGGCCACGGCTGCTCCCCGGGTCCCTCGGGGGGTGGGGGGGGGGGGCGAGTTGAGCAAGAGCGGAGCATCCCTCCGGAGCAGCCATGAGCTCAGCGCTCCGCTTCAAGGGGAGCCAGGAAAATCTCCGCCGCTGCCGGCCAAGAGCTCCATTTCACAGCCCTCGTCCTGGCTCTGGCTGCGTCTGCACTTTGCCGTGGCTGTTTGTTCCCCGTTCCCAGGGTTGCTGTGCTGGGGACCCCCTCTGGACCCCCCACCCCAAAGCCCCTTGTTCCCCCCAGTCTGACTGCAGACCCCTATTCCTGGGAGAGCCCTTTGCCTGGGAGAAAGGGGGCTGCTTTCTCAGGGTCCCTTTTGCAGCTGGCTCTCCTCCCCTCCTGCTGTGGGTTTGGCAAGCTTTCGCCCCAGGCCCTCAGCTGCAAGCCCCTGTGTCCTCCCCTAACCCCCGGCTCCCCCCGGCAGAGCGGGGGGCTCTCTGAGCTGGGAGTGGGGGTGTGTGCGTGTGTGTGTCAGAGCTGGGGAGGGGGCCTGAGCAATGTTTCTGACAATGCTGTGGGCTGAAGGACCTGCTTCCTAATTCCCCACATCCCCATCCCGGCTTCCTCCAGCTCCCACCCACCTCCCTGCCGCGCCGCTGGCTCCAAAAGTCCTGTTTTCCCTCCCTCCCTCCCAGAAGTTGAATGCTGGAGGAGCAGGTCGGCAGCTGCGGGTGGCTGGGCGTCCCCGGGTCGGGGTCCCTGCTTTGTCCCCACCACCTGTGGCCCCTTGCACCCTGCGTCCCTCCCCAGTGCGGGGACGGTGCCCGGGGGGAGCCGAGGAAAGGAGCAGGGGGAGGACAGAAGGGGTGACCCCAGCGACTGAGGGTCTCCCCCACGATGCCACTCCACGGAGGGGTGTTTGTGGGTCTCTGGCTGCTGCTGGCCCCCAGTCTCGCCGAGCCCACCCCCAGTGCAGGGGGGGCCACCCTCGCTTTTGTCTTCGATGTCACCGGCTCCATGTACGACGACCTGGTCCAGGTGATGGACGGGGCCTCGCGCATCCTGGAGCGGACGCTCAGCAGGAGCACGAAGCCCATCAGCAACTACGCGCTGGTCCCCTTCCACGACCCAGGTACGGGTGGGACAGGGCGAGGACACGCGTCCCGCCGGGGGACGGGGCTGTGGGGGGAGCTGGGCTGAGGTCCTGGCTGGGTTTGGGGCTGAAGCGTGCGCTTCCCAAGTGCCTGCGCTGTCCTTTCTCCCTATTTTTAATGCCCTGGTGACCGCTGCGATGGGGATGGTGGCGCAGGATGAGCTGCAGTTCAAGGACGTGGTGCTGGGCAGGGGCTCCCATCCCCAAGCCACCCTGCGGGCACAGGGCAAGCTGTTTCCCTCTGGATTAATCCCGGTGATGTTGGCAGCTGCTTGTGGGTGGCTTTTCTATTTCCAGCCTGTTCTGATCTCTCCGGTTTAATCACGGGGGGGCATTTCTGTACAAGTCCACAACATTCTTCCAGGTCGCCTCAATAAAAGCACCACTTGCTAAGAGGTTTTGGTAATTTACTGCAACACCAGAATCATTTCTTTCTGTGCCAGCCTTGGGATTTTTATGCACACCCATAAATAGCAGCTGCTCTCCAAAAGAGCCCTGACCCCTTACAAGGAGAGTGGGATCGAGGCTTTATTTTCAGCAGAAACGCTGAGTTTGAATGAAAATCACTGGAATGAAAATCAAGGAAGCAGAGGCAGTAAATGTGTTTCTACACCACTTTGCTGGGAGCCTCCCCCAGTAGAAAAGGGTCCTGGGTTTGCAGCTCACCATGGCCGGGACAACCTGGCGTGTTGGGGAGAGCTGTGGGCACGGGGCCGGTCTGCCCAAATCCACGTCTCGCTGGGTGCCAGGCCAGGGTAGCTGCTTACCCCTGAGCCTCGCAGGTCCCGTAAGGGTGCCTAAGCCGGGGTGGGTGCTCGGGATTGCCGGTGTCACGGCAGCGGCGGACGCTGAGGTGTCGGTGTGCCCGCAGAGGTGGGACCCGCCACCCTCACCGCGGACCCCCGGCTCTTCCAGAGGCGCCTGCGGGAGCTCCACGTCCAGGTAAGGCTCCTCAGCCCCAGGGCTGGATTGGTGCAAAGCCTGGCCCCATGTTCCTGCGTGCTTCCTCCGTGCCTGGCATCCCCTGGGAGCGTGGTGGGGGCTTAGAGCTGAGCTGGGCTTACTGGGGGCTGATCGCACCGGGGTGGGGGGTGGAGAGGGTGGGTAACACCAGTGCTGTGCCCCAGGCTCCTGTGACGGGGCAGAGTGCCCACAGCTCTTGTCCCAAAGTGGGAGTGCTTTCCCCAGGGGAGTTTGCATAAATTCTCCACGGAACCAAAAATCTCTTCTTCTAGAAGCATTTGAAAATTTTTTTTTGAGGTTGCGTTTTTTTTTTTTTTTTAAACGATTTCAGCTGCATTCTGCCAGCTGAAACATCTCTGGGAGTTTAATCATGCTTTATCCATCACCGCTCCTGCCCTGCCTCCCATGTGTTGCTAAATCCCTGTGGCGTTTCCCCTCAGATGCAGCTGTGTTTTGGCGGGAGGTGTAAAGCTGCGGCTGCAAACTGTTTTGCAGCCCTTTGCGGGGGTGCAAAGCCCTGTGGAAGCAGGAGCTGGTCCTCGCTGTGCCTCTGCACTTGCCTGGGGCGGCTGGTTCTGCTGCCACGTGGGGGGTGATGAGCTGGGGTGGGCACGAATGTGCCCATGAAAGGTGTTTGTGGGAAGCCGGTGGCTTCTGTGAGTCTGGATCGGCAAACGGGTGGTTTAATCTTTATTAGTGGAGAGGCAGGGACGGGTCCTTTTCATCCTGCGTGTCCCTGTGATACCATCACGCTGCTCTGGCTGCGCTTGGGCTGACTCTGGCAAACCGGTGCAATTCCTCCCCACGAGCAGACCCTGGGTGGGATCCTGCCGGGACCCCAGCAGAGAAGAGCCGAGCGCTGGGTGGCTTGGTGCGGGTGCCACATCCCTCACTGTGTGCCGCAGGGCGGAGGGGACTGCCCGGAGATGAGCGTGGGAGCCATCAGGCTGGCCGTGGAGGTCTCACACCCCGGCTCCTTCGTTTATGTCTTCTCGGATGCTCGGGCCAAGGACTACGAGCAGCAGGAGGAGCTGCTGCGGCTGCTGCAGCACAAACAGACCCAGGTGAGCGGTGTTGCCCATCGGCCTCCCGCAACAGCCGGCTTGGGTGGGTGCTGCAGCAGCACAACGGCAGCTCCCAGCAAGGAGCCGCAGCAATAAACCCATTAGTGGGGTGAATTTTGCATCCCCCCCGGGCTGGCTCGATGTGCTGGGGGCTGGCAGATGCTGGCTGCGTCCCCTCCC